CAATCATGTGAGTGTGAAAAACAGCCCTTGCTTACAACAATGGCCACCACTGCGACTGTGCTGTCCTTCATACCTACTCCCCACACTTCCTCTTGCAGGGGTTTGTTAGTTAACTTCCCATTGTTTATGGACCACTTGAACCCACCGTCCAGGCTGAGCCGGTTTCCTGCACTCAGTGAAGGGACAGCAAAAGAATAGATAAGTATGTCGTTCACAGAGGCATTTTCTAAATATCTGATCACTTTACACAGGTTTGATAAACCAACTTGAGGGTTGCTCAAATAATAAGATGTGGCGGCTGCTATGTGTAAATCTGTAGATTCACGTAGAATGCTGGCAGGCTGTTTTAACATGTGACAGATGAACGCCCAGGGTGGAAAATAGCTGTTTGCTGCAGGAGTTGTGAATTTGATCTGAGCTTAAGGGTGTTCTCTCTATTGTGTGCCACAGAGGACAAAGCAGGTTCTTACTCACCACACCAATGTATGTGAAATGCTTCCCTGCCAGAGGCAATGGGGTCAAACAATCCTATCTCTATATATAGTCTTCTCGGATGGCTATGTTATGGCTAGGTGGCCCCATTACCCACATGTCACACCAGCATTGTGCAGGGGAGGATCTTTTCTTCTTCACAACCTGTATAGATTTGAACTCTATCAAGTCAGGACTGACCTGTTAAAAACATACATGTTGATAACCCCAGGCACCCCTTAACCACTCTGGTTTCCAATTTCTCTTGTGTGAAAGGAAACTGCCTCCTTATTATACAATACAATGGAGTCCTTTCAATTGTTGCCTTGAGCTGTTCCAAGGTAACAGACGGTCCACAAGTGAAGGTCGTAGAGCTGACATCGGCCTGGTTTAAAACGCAAGCTTTGGGGAAGCATCCTTAATCTTACATGTTATTACCCCAACACATTGATAAGGTCTATGCTGTGTGTGTTCCTTCAGTTGCTTGGGGGCTTTTTAAAACCTGTTGAGGACTTTTGATGACAAGGTTCTTGGTCCTTTTTACATAAAGTTAGAGACAGTAATATGAGCCATACACGTTGCTGTTGCTCTGCTGCTTCTGTTTGCTCTTGGGGTGTCTGGCACATGACGGTATTAAGAGTCTATTTTCTCTTCTTTCAGCCCCTGTGTGTCCACAAAGACATGGGAGCCACTGTAGGACTTTCAGTGCTCTGTTTTAATATTGAGAGGCCCCTTCTTAGGGGCCATGCTGTGAGGCTGATATCCAAACACAGCTTAAAAGCGCTGGGATGGACCTGACTTTGAGGGCTCGAGGAATCTTGTTGCCCTTCTTGCTGCATACTTCACAGTCAACGAGTCCTCTCTGAGGAGACTTTCTTACAAAGGTCACAGTTATATCCCCACCTCAGCTTAAACCAAGCTGTGTTTGATGTCGATTGTGGTGCCTTTGCTATTGAAGGATCCACACACATCCACTAAACCCAAGGCTTAGGCAACATCAACACATATTGTCCTTGCTCCTGTTTCAAATAATGTATTCATGAATTCAGAAGACTTGATGGAGATACTTGGAACAAAATGACTGGTCTCTGCAGGGAGAGAATGCATCAGGTTACAATGGTGTGTTGAAAAGTTCTTGGTGTATACGGATACCCACTCTTATTTCATGTTATAGTTAGAAAGCAAACATCAGCAGCTTACTGAATTATTTGTCTCGTGTTAGCTGCAACAAAGGATCCCTGCCTTGCCTTACATTCTGCCCCAATATTGTCTTTGGTAAAAATGTGTTGTATTTGGGTTTATTTGTGGAAAGAGACAGTATTATACTAGTAGTTTCACTGTCTCACTAATAGTTGGTTCCCTTCTGAAAAGCGTTTTTTCTTTGCACCTCTACCAGACATTAGGTTCAGTGCAAAATCATCTTGATCCTTGACCATCTGTGGCTATTGCAACTTTGTGTCATGGTTGTCTGTCCAAGACTGTGTCAGTGGAGGGGAAACATATACACACTGTTATAGTATGAAGCACTGGTTCTATGTTGTGGCTCTTGTGAACCAAAAGATTACATTTTCTATATTATAATCACTATGTCATTGTTAAATGAGTATTATTGACAACCCTTTCATAGCACATTCAAATCTTTAATTTCAGTAATTTTCAAGGCTTGATTTCTCCACCTTTGTCTAATGGAGGCACACCTCAGGATGAATCGTGATATTTGAAGATTGTTGCTGGAGACGTAGTGTCCTCTCACGGTGGGTACGGCCTGCATGTGTCTGGTGGCTGTGATAGGGAGGAAGAATGGAAGGAATTTGTCATGTTGGCTTTTGGAGGCACTTCTCATTTCCTTTGGGTTAACCTGGGCGGTGTTTATTGTTACTATGGAGATGAGCAGCCTGCTCCCACACAGCACTCAGCAGCTCTACTCATTAGGCTAATGTACTGAACTATGCTATTCCAAACTAAACTGAACTAAACTATTGTGTGTGCAGATAGGCACAGTCCTCAGATCTTTTTCTCACGGTATCACACCTGGCGCTTACCTTGCTCATGTTTTTTTTTCTTCCCTCACAGCCACCTGTACATTCCTGAGCATTATACTTTATCCACTTTCAAGAGTGCTGCTCTGTACTTGATCCTGTCATTTGACCTCCTTCCCATTACATCAGTCTTTTGATCAAAGCACATTTAAATCATACCAGGCTCAAATAACTATCATTTAGATTATATCGCAAAAAAACAAAACGATAATAAATATTGTGTATCCTCTGAGTGCCTCAAGACCCTTGTATAAGTGCATTTCTTATTTCAGATAATCATTTTAGTTGCCTGCACAATTATTTATGTTGGCTCAGTTTAATGTTATTAAGTTGTGACAATGCCATTATGTAGTGCATTGCATTAAACCATGTGAATGGTTACGTATGCTATTTTTATTATCCTGTTCATAATGGAAAGAAAGAGAGGGTTGGCAGACGGAAATGTCATCCTTGGAAAGAAGCGGCTTAGAAGAAGTGGTTTTGAAACAAGGAAAGTATTAGTCCTCAGCATTTCTACTGTACTTATTACTGGGAAACAAACCACAGTCTCTGCCACAAGTTAACAGTAGAAGCAAAATGCAGAATAATTGTTACCCAATTGATATTTCCAACTATCTGTCATCAGTATGGGTTGATTTGGTCTGTCACACTGCGTGAATCAACGAACAAGTCAATTTAACATCCCCATCATAATTCAAGCTTGAAATATCAAGTTCAGATGTTCCATGGGGTCATGTTTGAGGATGTTTTCAATTAAAACCAGTTATTCAACAGAAGAAACTAGTGCTTAAAACTCATCTTCAAAGAGAGAATAATAGATTGAATCTGCCAGAATGGATGTGATGGGTGGAATATTGAATCACTGAAAATGTGTTTTCAGTACAGACTGATAGAAAGGCAGTTATGTTGATTCATTGAAAATGTAATAGAGCCTAGGAATGGCAAATACCCAAATGGATCAGTTTAACTTTGGGTAGGTTTGAAGTGCTTGCTTTGTCTGTGTTTTCTCTGGATATGTAAGAATGAAACACCAGAGTAAACATGTGTTGCGTGGAAACATTCATAATCTTGATTTAAAGTTTGGCTGAGTGGATTGAAACCTCATGAAAAGTAAATAGTTTGGAGCAGTCAAGGCTGAGTTGTAGTGAATAACGGATTCAGGGGAGGCTCTGCTTCACAATGTTTCATCTGAAACCATCAAGGATGAGAAAGGGTGGATCGATAGCCTCCTGCCAGCAGCAGTAAAATGACTTTGATATTTAAAGCCTGGCTTCTGGGGTTAAGAACTCAGCGAGAGGACTGTGTGTTTTGTTTGCAGAAGTTATTCCCTTATTTGGTTTAAACCATTCTTTTCATTGGAGGGTTTGCTCTGCTGCTATTAATACAGTAGGGTAGCAACCTATAATGTGTTTAGAGGGTTAGAAACCAAAAGTCCCACACATTTAACTGTTTAACTGCTGCTGTGTTTAGTTAAGTATATTTTACCAATGTACTGCTACGTAAGACTATAAATAATTCCAAAGTAAACAAGCAGATCCAGGCTGGAGCCTGAGTTCATGTTATACCGTTTACCCCAAGGGATTCAAAATGCTCACCAGCTTGGGAACAAGCATGGAAAGCAGGACAAACACCCAAGTTCAGTCACATAGCATCAATTACATGTGGAATTCAGGGTATTCGACAGTGTTTTCCTGCATAGCAAGCAAGATAGCAGAATGTGTCCTTTTCTGTTTAAATATTAGAGCATTCTTTCCATGCACCCTTCTGCTGATGACCTGCAGGATTGGGAGTGCTGTGGGAAAACTCCCAGCCGGGTGCCAGCTAAGCACTGTACAATGCGGATATGCACTGTTTTTACATTGCCATGTTTGGTTTTTGAGGACACATTTGTATCGCTTGTTTTTTGGGGGGGTAAAAAGGTACTTGCAAATGTCAGTGTTTAAATGGTTTGATTATTGGCAGGTGAATTGAGGAAATGGCCTCTGTTTCTCCAATCAATAGAAAAGAACGTGTTGGTATTGCTGGATAATGTCTAATGTCTGAACAGTTTCTTCCCCTCCGCTACCGGCCTCTTAAACAAGGCCCGGCCCCCCCCACTGACACTTTACCTCAGCCACTACATAGTCTCTATATGCATTACATTAATGCACACACTGTTCAAACACTGCTTACTGCGCATATTCTTATTTCGTATTTCATAGTTTATATTCTATAATTGCAATCTATTTCGCTGTAAATTACTGCTCTATTTTATTGCTATTCAACCATATTTTATTACAGTGTCCTTAAAGATGTTTTGTTTTATATTAGATTTTTTGTTTTATATGGAGATTCTTTGTTTTATATTTTATGTGTGCACCACGACATCAAGTCAAATTCCTCGTATGTGTGAACCTACCTGGCAATAAACCCGTTTCTGATTCTGATAGTTTTGACTGTGAATACATTTCTGTTGTCTTGTTGTGTCTGACTTTTTTTCTTTTCTCTTAGGGGCCCTTCAGAGAGGCTTCTGGGAATCTTGCCATGTTCAAGGCAGTGCTGAAGAAGAACAGAGATGGAGGCAAGGGGAGCAAGAAGGACTCAGGTATGTGGAGGATTATAAAGAAAAAACAGCAAGCTCATTTACAGGGAACAAATAACCCCAAAGGCTTGGATGCAAACCTGATCATTTCATTTCAGTGATTACAAATTCCTCTTTGAATATTGAAACTTTTTTTTCTGAAACCCTTCTTAGTAAAGATTCAGAATGTGAAGGCTGAAGTGAGCTAGTTGAAGCTAAAGTAAACCAAAGAGAAAGTTTAGAAGAATTACCTGAATATTCTGTGAAGGAGCAATCACTTAGCCTTACCCCTTCTTTTTTGATGTCACTGCGTCTATGTATCACCCAGTTTTCAAAGAACCATTGTCACGTCTCTAACTCGTACTTCAGAGCAGGATCCCTTGCATCTTTATTTAACTTTGACTCTAGTAGACACAGCCTCACCATTGTGTCACAACAGATGTTACCGTTTCCTTGGGAAATCTTTAGTATTTTCCAACATGACTAAACATGAATCACTTAACAATACATTGTTGACTTTCTTCTTGTTCACACAACAGCCCCCTCCAATGATCTCTAGCATATGACTGCTTATACCAGCCTAGACTTGATTTACTACCCAAGGACTGGTTCTAACAGGTAGTCTGGTTCAAACAGTCACTGCATACAGTATGTGTAGCTCTCTTCACGACACAGACACAGATCGGTTCTTTAAAACGGGCGTTTATTTCTTGGAGTTTTCATCCTGTAGCCTCCCCTCTTCCGTTACGCCGTGAGAACTACACCACCGAATGACACGTATACATAGCTAAACATATTAGCATATTGTGCTACACATATGAATGAAAATAAGAAAACATAAAACAAATACCTCGTTGGCCGCTTGTCGTGAAAGGATATTAATCTAGTTCCTTTTCTGTATAACTTTGTCACAGACTTCTTGTCACATTAAAACTTTGCCACAGACTTCAGCAAAGCTTCAAACAAAGACGTCAACCCACGTTGAGTTGTACAGTGTAACAACAAAACACGCAGTACCAGCACATGAACAAACATTAGTTCCTAGGCACAAGAAACACATACGCATATCGGTTTAACATGTAAAACAAACTGTATTAAATCAGGCCATATTTAACGATTATAAAATAACATGAAATAAAGTATTTATCTAATTGAACCAAGACATTAATTGTGTTATTCTTTTTAATTAAGGCAACTTTGTTACGTAATTTACAGTATGTCTTATCGTTCTCTTCTTTCTGCCTTTGCCAGACATTATTCTTTCACTCGACAGTCAGACAGCTACAATTAAGGGGTAAAGATCACCTGCTCTACATCAGAGTACAGAGGGAGAATTGAGTATTGTTCGCTTGTATTTTTATTGTTTTATATCAAGCTGTTGCAACCTGTACCACTTGTATGAATCACTCTGATAACATAGCTTCTGTTACCCGGACACCCACACATAATGCACTTAAACACAGGATGTTTTCTGTACGTGAAGACTGGGAGCAGCAGCCTTTTATGGCGGGATACAGCGCCTTTATCCCAGCTTGGATCTCCCAGTTGGACCCCATCCATCAAGCTAAAGCATCTTCGTCCTCCTTTCTCATGCTGGGACAATACCATCTGACCACTCCTCTCTGTTGTTTAGGGCTCTTAAGACAGATGAGAGGTCACAGAGATACAACAGCTAGCAGTGGTCGCTTTGCCACACTGTTGTCCCTCCATGTGGCTCAAATCTTTAATGCTTTTTTTTATTTCTGGCTAAATGTTTTTTGATGGTCAGACTCCAACAAATCTGTCTGATTTCTTTTTGAAACTGCTGGTCTGTGTCACATCTTATTACACTCGATAACAGCTAGTTCATATATATTTGTCAGGAGCCAAAACAAATTCACATTCATTACAAATAGTTAGTTATAAAGTAGCAATAAAAGCGTTAAATTGCATACCATGTGTTAATTGTCTGTTGTCCTTGAAGAGGAGAACTTGTTTGTATTTAAGGTCCTTCCGGGGATCTGAAATGAGATTTGTTATACAGAAGCCCTTATGGGGAAGGCTTTGTTAATCAAATTGGGAACACTGCAGAATAGTTAATGGTCTCTGAGACAAGATAGTACCATATTGGACATAAAATATTCACTGCACCCTTGCGAGTCTTGAATAAAGATTTCATTTAGATCCCAACTGGTGTGGGAATAAAAGTTATTTTAAAATGAAGTGTCTGGTGCTTTGGAGTTTTGTACTCTTATATCTTACGTGTGCTTTATTATACACAGTTCTATCATTTAGCCTTTTTTTTAATTTAGATTATTTGTTTGATACATCATCTTTGATATGTTTTGAGATTTAGCCAGCTTTGGGTTAATGTCTAACTCTTTTATACTTGACAGATCAAATGAGTATTTTATACGTTTTAGAATGAGTATTTACTTATGAGCTTGATCCTCACTTTGTAAGACTAATTATTGCAGATGAAGGAAACATGTCTTTTTTACAAAGGCCCTTGTAAAATCTGCTTAGCAACATGCAGTATAATGGAAATCAGTGGGAGGAACGACCTTGATAATGGTATAATAGCAAGATAGCTCAGCATATGTTGCTCATGACATGGTGGCTATGGACTGGAGGCAACTTTAAAGCAGTCAAGGAAACTTGGCCCCTAAGCCAGATACCACTACAGTCATTAGCTCTCCTTTGGGATCTCCCCATTGCCAAGACCACAAAAACACACAGTTTGCTAATTTAGTCTCTCCATCATTTACTTCTCCTAGATCTTTCCTCCCCCTCGCTTGCGTCTTCCAGACCTCGGGAATCTGTTTGGAATCGGCCTTTTTAATCCCTTTTTGAAGTACTTTTTTTTATGGTCTGCCACTCCGGAAGTGGGATGCCATGTTGCTGTGGCCTGTTGCCTTTGATGTTAACGTTTTCTGAGAGAGGTTACGTTGCAAGTAGGCCTCACTTGAGTTAATAGAGTTGGGTCCTGAAGGCACAAGAAGATGATTATATTCTAAATAACCTAACAGAGTTTTAATTGGTGTTCTCTTTAAAGATGCAGGCCCCTCAGATTTTATTACATAGTTTCCCCTATGACTTCTTATTAATTCACAGCAGTGTCTAGTTGCACTTCATTACACACCAAATTGCTTGTTCAAAGTTGGTATGATTGTATTAGGACAGTTTGTTGTCAAGTTTGTTTGAATATATTTGATACGGTTTTCCTCAATGCAAATGCATCTAGGGTCTACACAGGTATACCATAGAGCAGTGGTTCTCAACTGGTCAGGCCTCGGGACCCACTTTTCTCTTTGTCAATAAATCGCGACCAGTCCAACTGCATGCACAGCGTTAGAAAATCGGGCCTTCAAAATAAAAGTTAGACTTTTTTTCCACATAAAAAAAAAAGAAAAAAAAGAATTCCATTTATCACACATCTGCGACCCACTCGAAACGGTTCCGCGACCACTTTTGGGTCGCGACCCACCAGTTGAGAACCACTGCCATAGACCATGTCACAGGCCATTTGGTTCTTAGTAATATCCTATAGAAGTGAAAGGAAAAGATTAAGGCAAAACGTTTAAATACAAGCCAATCAGTCGCTTCATCTCGGCTGTGTTGCGGTTCTATGAGTTCAAATTAAGTGACGCAAAACTTTTCAAGGGAAGATATTATTTTAACTTGAACATGCTTAAGTTTTCAAAAACACATTATTTTTCACATACACACTTTCTGTCTGAATGTACCTGTATACACAGTCTGAACATTTCTACTTTAGCGCCTGTCTCCCTATCTGCTTTGACTCAGGATAAGAATTGCTAAGGTATTTGGAGGCGTGTGGTGTAGTGGGTTGTGTATTGGTGTTCGGATCAGGGGGTCACAGGTTCAAACCCCACTGCAGTCAGCATGTCGTTGTGTCCCTGGGCAAGACACTTCACCCCAAGTTGCTCCTGTGGGGATTGTCCACAGTATTGAGTATGTAAGTCGCTTTGGATAAAAGCGTCTAACATGTAATGTAAGGTATTTCATAAGCCATCGGTGGAAATACTTACTGTAGATGGAGGGCCAATGTATTCTAACAAGTCTTCATATGACACGGGAATGGGAACAAATTGTGGATGATTTGTTGAATCCCATGTTTAAATGACATAGGCTACTCACAAAAATTGACTGTCGTCTCATTTCACAGTTTGAAGGCATTCACGATGTTTCACCTTTCAGTAATGACAGAAACGTTCCTTTTTGAAGTATACTCCTTCTTACTATCACTTCTGTCCTGGCAGTATTGTCAGTCAGTATCGGTTAATGATGTGGTCCCTTTTACTCAGATGTAATTGCTCTCTTGGTGACACTGTATGTTGGGTAATGCCTGAAGGCCCCCCCAGTTTGGAATTAACACTCAATGAGCTCGGCCGTTTGGGGCAGCTGGCAGACAGTCGTCTGTTGTTGGTGACGCAGTGTTAATCACCATAGCCTGCATTGCAGCACTCATTGAGGCTGATAAGTTTCAGCTGTTTATTCCTCTGACCCCCAACATACACAAGCCATGTACACACAAACAGTTAGCAACCACCAGTTGTCAGGGCTTTTCATACTTTGTTTGGCGGGAAGAGACTCATGCACCTGGCGTTACATGATTCAGCAGTCCTGTTGTTGACCTGGCTGCCAGCACAGAAAAAGGCTGTCACCTCAAATTGTTCTGCTGTCATAATAATCGCCTGTATGGCATGGTTTGTCAAGAGTCAAAAACATGTTAAACCATTAAAAACCTGAGAGAAGAGAAAAGTATTGCTGCAATCTTGGGCCAACAGACTCCTTTATAAGAATAATTCCATCTGCACCAAAGTCCCCTTTTTTATTCAAGGTTGTTTCTGTATTCTTTCAAACGCAGCCCTGCTTACGGCTGAAGAGTGAGCATTTCATCATGTTTTGTAATCATCAAGGTCTGCCACAGCAGGGGGGGGGTTCACATCTAATGAGAGGCAACTGAGACAAGAACGTGTTAGTGATTTGCTGCCTTCCAGAACTTTTAAGTCAATTTGAAG